TAATTTTCTCATTGAGACTTCTTTCTTTACCAGTGTAAAGGAAATCACAATTAATGTTATCAGTAATAGCATTTCCAGAACATGTATGATTCATCATGTGATAGTTTATCATTAATTAGACTTGCAAGTAAATAAATGACTTGTGGAAAAGATTGCTATGGCATGATGACCCTGTGATGTGGGGGTTAGTTCTTTCCCTGAGGCCAGCTTTCTGTCTTGCTGTGCATATATAGAATATTTTCTTTATTCCTCTTTGAGTCTGCACCTTGGTTATTTTAAATAAGATTTAAATAAGCATGGGGAAGCTCCATACTGAAGACTTCCATAGTGGTTGAACTAATTTACATTTTCATCAAGAATGCATATAAGGCTCTTTTTTTAAAAAATCCTCATACTCTTACTAATACTTTGTTCCTTTCTGATTCGAGCCATTTGCATGTAATACACACACACACATAAATATATAAATGCACGGTAGCATCTCATTATGGTTTCAATTTTTATTTCCTTAATTATTAGTGGTGTGGAACATTTTTCTCATGAGGTTTTTGGGCCTTTTTTAGGTTTTCTTTTTGAGAAATGTCTGCTCAAATCTTATATATTGTTTTCAAATATTTTCTTCTACTCTATGGTTGTGTCTTCACTCGATCTCACTGTTTATTTCACTTTGTAGATATTTTTAATTTGATTCAATTCCATTTGTCTTTCTTAGCTTTGGATAACAGTATTTTGGGGGCCCTTCCAAAAATTTATGTTGAGATTAATGCTGTGGAGCGATGTTTTATGCTGCAAGTATTTTTCATCCTCAGGTTTCACAGGTAAGATTTGGAGTTCATTTTAAGGAGTGTGTGTGTGTGTGTGTGTGTGTGTGTGTGTGTGTGTGTGTGTGTGTGATGTAAAATATATAAAATTCTTTTGCTTATGAGTATCCAGTTTTCCAGTACTGGGCTGCTATGGTTAGAACAACTTTATAATATATTATAAAATTAGGGAATGTGCTACCTTACCTTCAGTTTTTATTGAACATCGTTTGTCTATTTGGGATCTTCTGTGGCTCCATGTGAATTAAAGGGTTTCATTTCCCATTTCTATAACAAATGTCTTGAAACATAACATTTAAATTTTGATAGAGATTGAATTGGAACTGTAGATCACTATGCCAGATATTTTTTTTGATGATGAGTCAGTGAATTACCATTATTGTGTCTAGTTATCAAAACTGTTATTTCTGAGTCACTTAAGAGTATAAATATTTAAAATATAAGAAAACAAACCAATTAATACTGTTGTGATTAAGGCAAAATAACAGATCCTCCTGTGATTTTATATGGCAGATGTCCTCTGTGTGAGGCTGAGTCCCCTGGGCTTATACAAGCTCTCTACACTTCCAACCCCACAGCTTGGCACTTGGGTGGAAATGACTCATCCCTGACTTTGTGCCTGTGCTTGGCCATATGCTTTGTCTGTTTCCAGTGGGTTTTGCTTGGCTTCTGTTGCCAGTTTTCCTGGTTTGGCACAGGGCCACCCATGACTTAGGCTTTCACTGGATCATGGCTGGCATTAGACCTCTCTCTACCATAAACTTAGTTGCTTAAATGGTCCAAATTTATTGTTTCTTCCTTTGGAGGACAGAAACTTAAACTCATTAGACTAATATAGAGATATGAAAAGGTCTATCTATATTCCTCTTTAGATATTCTAGTACAATGTACAATGTATTAGGTGCTTCAGAGAAGTAGAATATATATATGTATATATTTTCCCCCCATTCTTCTTGTCTATGTGGTGTGTGTTTGCATGTGTGTATGTGTGTGTGTGCGTGCATGCACTTACATGCATGCACACGCACGCATGCCTGTACTGAGGTTTGAACTCAGGGCCTTATGCTCTTGTTTGGATTGCTTGCTTTTAGTTTGTATTCTACTGCAACCCTACTATTTGCTAGTTTTTTTGCAGATGAGGTCTTCTGGCTGGATTTGAACTACCATCTCCCAGGTCTTCTGAGAAGCTAGGATTACAGGAGGCAGCCTGTATTTATGAATCTGTTCTATTCAGCTTAATTCCTCCAATTTTTCCTACTGAGTTCCTCAAAGGATTAGTACCACCCACATTGGGGAGGGTCATCTAGTTTCCTCAATCTATTGGCTGAAATAATAATTCCATTCAAAATTACCATCATAGACATATCCAGAAATAACCTTGAATGTAGGCACTCAGGCCTAGTCTTGTTGAGATAATATTAACCAAAACAGAGAAAATCTATTTCTTTGTCTTTTCTGGTTTCTACAGGTTGCTTGCATTCTTTGGCTTACCTACACTTCCTGTTTATTCAAAGCCAACATTATCCAGTTGGGTTCTAGCGACACTACCTCTGTTATCACATCCCTTTCTTCTGACTCTGACTGTCTTTTGCCTCCTTCTTACTGTGATCACATTGGAGCTGCTCTAATACATCAAGATCAGCCTATTATTGATTTTATTTCCATCCATACTGTTAATACTCCTTGCCATGTAACCTGCCATCTTCACAAGTCTTGGGGATTTGAACACGTGGTGAGCCTGAGTCTACAAGAACAGATATGAGCATTCATATGGTGAGGGTTACAAGGAGTGAGGTTACGAGGGTGAGGATGGAGAGTACATTGATGGGCCATATGACTTCTGCTCTCACACAGAATGAAATTCCATTTTGGACCTACCACTTGCCACATGTCGTTGGGCATGTCACTTAACATTAAAGAGGTTGCCACTTTTGGGCATTTACCCAAATGTTTACAAACAAGACCACACTAAAGCTACCAGCACAACTATGTTTACTGCAGCATTATTTACCATAGCTAAGATATGGAACCAGCCCAGATGCCCCTCAGTAGATGAATGGATCAAGAAAATGTGGTATATATACACAATGGAATTCAATGCCTCCATCAGAAAGAA